TGAATAAATAGTCACTGTTTACACCCTTAAATTATGTAAATAGAATCATCAGTGGAGCTGCACAGTATACTAATTCGGTCATTAACACGGGTTTTTTATTAATTGATATATTAGTTAGCCAGATTTAATTATCAAGTCACTTTTATAAGGAGGGCCTATGAGTGAGATCTTTGGTGTTGATAAATCTTTCTATTGCTTTTATATATGAATAATGAGTTTGATCAACTCCTTTATAGAACACACACACAGACACTTCATAGTTGTAGACACTGTTCCACTGCCTCTTTCTGTCATCTGGTATTGTTAATGTAGAGAAACATATTTTCATAATTTTTTCCACTTGCTTTTTCTGCTCACATGCCTCAAATATTCTTTTCTTTGTCTTTAAAGTTTCGTAACACAAATGGCAAGCCTCAGTGAGGATCTATAGCTATAGCTAGTCATACCTATTTTTGAAGGTATGCCCTTTCTGAATCTTTATTTATGGTTAAAAAAATATATGCTTGCTTATTTTTTCTGTTTCTGGTTTTGTCATCTTCAGGAACAATCACAATTATGCATACATCATCTCTGCAGCTACCATCTCTCTCACCTCCTCCCTCACTTCCATCTTTTGGTTATGTTTTGTTTTATTTCATTTGATTTTGTAAGATTTTCAAAGAAAGCCTATTCACTGTTTCACTGAATTTTTGAAATAGATTTCCTTCTACTTCTTGCTGATTCTAATAGGCTTTTATTTTTATTGTTTCCATTAGTTTTATTATATTCAGTTTCTTTCCTCAACTCTCTTAACTCATCTTTTCAGCTCCTATAATCTCATTTCTCCAATTTGATATCTTTCATCCATTCTTTTGGCTTTATTTATTTTTTTTGTCCAGTGAGAAAAAGTCCTTGTCATTTTTATTTCTTTGAGAGTATGATGAAGTGTTTGCCTGATATTTTCTTCTGTTTCCTAAAGTAATTTTTCTTGTATGTATTATTTATCTCCCTTTTGCATGTGATCTTTCTTTCTCCTTCTCCACCAAGTTCTATACATATCCATTTGGTAGAATCCATGTTGTGTCCTTTACATGTTTTTCATCTTTGCGGTGAGTCCTCTACAGGCTTGCATTTGGCTTACAAAGACTGTGGAGATGGTTGGGAGATGAGGAATGAGGAGTCAGATCTGGCAGCTTGAAATCATCTTAAAGCCATGTATGGCATGAAACCTATGGACCCTTTGCCTGAGCCAGGTTTCTCCTTAACTTTTAGGCTCCCTTGATTGCAGTGGGAAGCTCATCTAGGTAAGCGCACGGCGTTCAGTCTCCCTTTGTGACCCATAACGAAGGCTGATAGATCACAGATGTTTTGTGTTTAATAATGTGGTGTTTATTTCTGTCTGGTCCACTTTGGTCAGCACTGCAGAGATGCTTAATTCCCCCTCACTTTCCTTCTTCACACTCAGTTTTTGTTTTGTTTTTTTAATGTGATGTACTAGTTTCCTTGGGCTGCTGCAATAAATTACCACGAATTTGGTGGCTTAAAACAAGAAAAAATTATTCTTTCACAGTTCTAGAAGCTAGAAGTCTGAAATCAAGGTGTTGGCACAATCAAGGATCCTTCATTGTCCCTTCCCAGCTTCCGTGGTTCCCAGCAATGCTTGGCATTCCTTGATTTGCAGCTGCATTGCTCCCATCTCTGCCTCCTTCTTCATTCAACTTTCTTTTCTGTGTATATCTCTGTATCCTCTTCTCTTCTTATAAAAACGCCAGTCATTAGATGTAGAGCCCACTCTATATCTCGGGTGGTTTCTACTTCTGGAATGATCCTTAACTAATTTCATTTGCAAAGACATTATTTCCAGAAAAGATTATATTCTGAAATTTCAAGTGGGCATGAATGGGGGAGGTATTTTTCAGCCAACTGTGAAATAAGAGTCCAGGTCTAAGATAATAACAGGGTTTACCCACATTCTGCCCCCTCTATCCCTGCCAATCCATAATGAGAAACTGAGGCCCCGAGGTAAATCCTCTCCCCCACTATTAGCCTATATCTTCAATTTTTGTTGTTCCAAGCAAGAGATTAGATTTCTCATGCCTTATCACTTATTTTGAGGAATATCATTGAGCTCTGGAACTTTATCTATTACTTTTTCTGGAATGTTCTCTTCATTTGTCCAAATATTACTATATTTTGCAAAAATTATTTTTATTGTTAGTTTGGGGTAGAGTCATTTCCTGAATTCATTATGGATGGAATTGCCTTTACTGTATGATTTTTGTTTTATTAGTGATTTGGAGGCACATAAATGGGACAAGTAAGGAAAACATGGATTTATATAGTACTACCTTTACTGAAAGACTACTTTTTCAAAAAAAGGATATATATTTTATCTCGTACGCAGATCATAATTCATTTAATAATTCCCCTATTGTGTTTTCTGACTATAAGTAACACTGTAATGGAGAACTTTGTACATGTAACTCAGTATAGAAAGACTCTCCTGTTTCCTTGGAAGCCTGTTTCTTACAACTGGAGACTACCTGGGAATTCATGTGTGTGACTTTCATGGGTTTACGGGGAGCATGAGTCTTCCCTGTCATTGCTCTTCCATGGATCACACTCAATTTCTCTCAATAACCAGTGATGATTCTGCCTCATAATTAATCCATAGAGAGGGCCAATAGCCTCCAGCCTTGTCTTGGCCAAAGTCCATAGCAAAAGTATTGGGGAAAAAAATCACTTTTTGTTCTCAAATACTTTCTGTTTTCTCAGTTTTCTGTGAACCAAGCAGACATCAGACTACAGTGGAGACAGTCTTTTACTAGGGGTAATTCTCTTGCCCCTAAATAGAGGGTCATGCAGACTTAGACAGGGCTGATAGTTAATGACCTGACTGGTTGTTAAACTATTGAAATAATTCTATACCACTTGGAAAATTTTATTATAGTAACATAACAAGCTATTTAGTTAATTTGTGTTATAAACTTTAGAATAAATCCATTAGTTCAAGTGAAATATTGTAAGATATCTCAACAACCCTGATAAATGGGCTACCTGTCATAACAACATCTAAGAAATAGTTGTAGCTCTAAGGGCCAATTGGCCAATGTCCAGTAAGCAGTGCAGAATACATATTCATTATAGAACTCTGTGTTTGGAGAGAATCACCAGTTTATCTTCATCCTGGAATTATAGTTGCTATTACATCTAAATAGTTTATTATTTGTTTTTTATAGTTACTGTGTTATAATTCTTGTATGTACATTTTAATGCTTCAAAATATAAGGATTTATAACAAGATACTGAATACAGACTCCCAGAATGAGGGAACAACAAAGTTTGGGTACATTTCTCAGTATTTCTATTAAATATAATAAATAAGGGTCACTTGGATCTATGGTAACATAAAAAAGAAATGATATTAAAATTATATCATTAAAAGGTAAAAATGTTGAACACAAATATTTTATTAGATTAAGAATCATATTCTGTTAAATCTTTTGGTTTAAATGAAGGAAAATTATAATCATCAATGAGGAAAAAAATTTAAAAACATGAAGAATGAGTGAAATAATAAAAATGTTCAGAAATTTGAAAAATCAAATTCCTAAAAAAATAAAAAAAAAAAAGAAAAATCAAATTCCTAAAAAGGTAAATGAAATTACTTGAAAATTTTGAAAAATACTGGATTGTTTTAAGCATGAATATTTAATAAAACTTCAAAAAAAAGAATAATATCAATACAGACATGCCATGGTCTAAATGTTTGTGTCCCCCCAAAATTCATATATTAAAATCTAACCCTCAGTGCAATGAATGGTATTAAGAGATGGGGCCTTTAGGAGACAATTATGTGACAGAGGGAATGGCCTAAAAAATACCAAACAGCAAAGAGATTTTCTGTCTCTTTAAATACTTCCTGGCAGGGCTTGGTGGCTCACACCTGTAATCCTAGCACTCTGGGAGGCTGAGGAGGGAGGCTTGCTTGAGCTCAGGAGTTTGAGACCAGCCTGAGAAGAATGAGACCCCATCTCTTCTAAAAATAGAAAAATGAGTCAGGTGTTGTGGTGCATGCCTACAGTACCAGTTACTTGAGAGGCTGAGGCAGGAGGATCGCTTGAGCCCAGGAGTTTGAGGTTGCTGTGAGTTAGGCTGATGCCACAGTATTCTAGCCCTGGTGACAGAGTGAGACCTTGTCTCAAAACAAAACAAAACAAAACAAAACAAAACAAAACAAAACAAAACAAAAAACTTCCCCTACTCCTTTTGGGAACTATTGCAGGCTGGCCTCTATCCTTGAGGCAGGTTAAGTCTTTTGTTAAAATTCTCAGGTGGTGCCAGCCCCTCATTTGGGCAGCTGGCTGGAGTTCACAGGCTCTGTCTTTGGCAGAGATGGGACAATTAAAAGAGTTAACCACAGTAATTGCCTAAAGCTGAGAACACTCCCTTTAAAAGCTCTGTATTCTGCCTATGTTCAAGGAAATATGGATTTCGAGATGAGAAGGTTTACCATTTTTCTTCCCTTTGCCGCAAAGGTATTAAATCTCTTTCCTCATCCCCAAAAGACTTGTCCTTATTCTTCTGATTTGGCTTCATGGACAAGTGGCCAAGTTTTCAGTAACAATTAGGTTATGAGGACCGAGCCCTCATGAATGAGATTAGTGCTCTTACAAAAGAAATCCCAGGGAGTTTATTTGCCTCTTCCACCAGGTGAGGATACAGTGAAAAGGATGGTCATCCATGTAGCAGTGCCCTTATCAGACATTGAATCTGCTGGCACCTTGATTTTGGACTTGCCAGCCTCTGAAACAGTAAGAAATAAAATTTCTGTTGTTTGCAAGCCACCCAGTGTTAGGCTGGAATTTCGCAGGACCACAGAACAGAGAGACAGACTCACCAAGGCTGAAAATAGGAGTTTTATTAGCTAGCTCTAGCTAGGGTCCAAGTCCCAGAGCACCAACACAGAGGCTTCTATTCGGACAAGGACCCTGCGCACTGCAGGACAGAGTCCTTTATACCCTGGGTTCATGACTTGTCCACACGCTTGCCCTTTACATTGATTGGTTGGCCCCTTGTGCCTGATTTTCTGCAGCATTTTATTTTGCCTTAATTCTGATTGGCTTTACCCCATTCTGGGTGCCATTTGATTGGCCCTCAAATCCGGGTTTTCTTTCTGCATTTTGTTTCATCCCATAATTCCCTGTGATCAGTCCGCTCAAGCCAACTTCCTAAAAGCAAGCAAGCAATACACAGAAGTTAAAAGAAAGTGGTTAGCCTGAGGCTTCACACCAGTTTATGGTCTTTTTGTTATAGCAATGTGAATGACTTAAGATAAGACACATAATAGTAATCTATATTTGTAGTTCTGGCTTGTTAAGAATACATCTACTGAAATGAGAACACTGCTTTTAGAAAATGTAAATTAAGACAGTAAAATTTCAATAATTTTTGATGAAGCTTCAACTGCTCTATGTTAAAGTAATGAAATAATTTTCTTTAAATGAAAAATTCAATACTTTGAAGAGAGAGTTGAAAAAAAATTGTTTTTTGATCTTAGAAGCTGCACAAATAAGATCTAAAGTTTTTGTTGGTAGTGCTTGAGAAAAATGATTTCAATAAAATATATTGTCATAAAAACCTTACTGAACTTTTTACAGTTATGCCAGTGGAATGTTAGAGAGAAAGCCTGGGGTTTTAATCATAATTTTAACAAAACTGCATATTTTAATTTGGCACTATCTAAGTAACTATAAGCAATCACTCTGGATGATGGGGTAAAATATATAAAATAAATGTTTTCTCCTGAACTTTACATTTACTAATATTTATCAAATAACCATTTGAGAGAATTACCCAATATTTCAGAAGAGATGACAAAAAACATAATAAAAATTAGAAAAATATTTGCATGTCAACTGGCAGCTGATAGTGCTAGAGCTGAAAAGCAGTCTGGAAATCATATCATTATTAAAAATTGTGAAAAAGAATAGTTAAATACTTGAGAAATGAAAAAATGTTTTGGAACATTGGGTTTCTAGGATATCTTTATTTAGATATAATTCACATCCTATTACATTAATCTTTTAAAAATGTATAATTCTATTGTCTTTACTGAATAAAAAATGATATATAGTGAAGAAGAAATGATATAGGCAAAAACTGTGATCTGGACATCTGATGTTGTGGAAAATAGTGAAGTGTGAGTTCTCCAACATTGTTCTTTTTCAATGTTGTTTTGGGGTGGGGCAACTACACCAAGGCAAACACCCACTTTCATCTCTAGGAGACCCAGAATCCCTTACTGCCTACCTAACATAGACATTAACTAGATGTCTGACCTTAAGTAGGGTCCCTCATTTCTTTGCAACCTCAGTCTTCTCACCTGTAAAATAAAAGCTCCAGACTAGACAATCTCTGGGTTCCTTCTGCTCCAAATTTCAATATCTGTTTCTAAAGAGGATGGATTTGAAAACTCATTTCTATAATCACAAAATCAGATGTCAAAGCAGATACTGAAAGAGAAAAACAAAGGGGAAAATATGAATTTTACAATATCTCTCATATCTCATTTGAGATTTTCCTTTACAAATAAAAAGAAACAGAAAATGGACTTAAAGTCTCTCCAGCATTCTATCCTGTCCTTTTTTTGGAAACAATCTTGCTGTACTGACCCTTGAATTTTATAACCCAAATGAAACCATTTATCATCCTGGGAATTTAAATCAGAAAAGTGGTATATCTTTATGGTAATAAGGAACAAAAAGAAGGAAATAGGTTTGAAATTTATGTTAAGAACTTGGCTTTTGCCCTATATATGAATACAACAATAATCTTCTAACCTTTCCTGAGTGTAGTGCAGGAAACTTGTTTCCTAATTTGGTTATTCAATATGATATTTTAATTTTGCTTTTCTCACATCCTTTAGAGAGAACTGATATGTTAGAAGAAAAAGTACAACAGTACATTCCATTAGAAAGAAAAAAGGAGGAAGAAACCAGTTACTTTTAGGAGGGAGGGAGGATAAAATGAATGGCTCAAGTAAACTAGTAACAGCAACCAAATCTAAATATAAAAGGGTTACTATGACTACAAAGGTGTTATATTTGAATAAAAATGGATATGATATCTTTTAAATGCTAATTGCAATCAGAGGAAGTCCGTCATTTCCAACTCCAGACAGTCCCCCATCTCTCCTACTTTATGGCTTCTGGATGGAATCTACTTGAAACAAAACTATTGCCCTGTGAAATTGAAAAGCACTTTAAGTTCCCCTGTGTAAGGGCTACTTTATACCAGTTCCAGCATTGTGACTCCAATTCTTCATTTTGTCGGGAGCCTCAAGACCCCTTTTTTTTCCTGATAAAGAAAAAGAATGACGATCCACTTGAAAAATCTTTAAAGTATAAGTCATCCCTTCTAAGTGATGATGACTTTCAGTCAAGTTAGAGAACACTTACAGAGCAAATTCTAAAAGCAAGGCACTGTGGGGGAAACTAAGATAATTTGGGTTCTTCTCCCTAAGAACCCCCTCTAGATGGGGAGTTATATTGAGTGATCTTTTTGGATTCTTTCCAGACCTTGTTTCAGGCTCCAAAGAAATAACCACTGTTCCTTGTAGTTAAATATAGATTGTGCTGGAAGGTGCCTGAAATAAAACCACCATGGTAGTGTCAGCATTACCAGATGACACCGATGTACTTGAATCTACTGCAGTATTCACTCTCATTTCTGATAAGCTTAAAGAACATATATGGATTCTGCTTTTAAAAGTCATATGAGTAATGAAATCGGAACTCACTTTATATCACATGAAAGAAATGGGTGACATTTACATAAAGATTATTTGACCATAGAACTCTTTGTCCTCAGAACAATGATTAACAAGGCAAAGAAAAACAGTTTTCTGATTTATTTTGGGCAATGAACAATTTAAGATTATTTAAGAAAGCTTTTCTCTCTAGAACCCAATAAGGACTTATTGAGGATGGGCCCTGACCTCTAAAGTGTAAAAGAAAATAAAAATCTTAGGACCATTCCTCCAACTCCTTATGTAAAAGAGAAGGTCAAGCCTGGAGGCTGAGTCATGCAATACCCCCTCCCAAAAGAATAGCTGATACTAACATTATGCACCCCCAAGCATCTATAAGAACTGCCCCCACACATCATTCATAAGGAAATTCTTTGCTGGCCTCCCATAAACAAGGATATGCAAATTAAAACTTAGAGTCTGCAGCCTAAGTCCAGCTCCTAAAACTAAAGTCTCTTCAATTCTACACTAATAATGTTGGATTATAAATTTAATCTTACAAGGTGCAGAACAGAGACAAGACAAGATCAAACATACTTCCAACTACTCAGGGACATCTACATAATTGATATTTCCTTCACTCCCATTTTCTCTTCTAACATTCACCTTATCTTATGTAAAATACAGATTTCCTGGACCTCACAAGAATGTAACCATTTGTCTCACCGCCCACCTTTCTCCTCCTTTTTTCTTTCTGTATGCCCTCTCCCTTTTAGAATTCTGCCTCAGAAAAACAGTCACAGATATATCTGTGGTCTCTATTTTTCCCAGAGGCTTAATAAACCTCCATTGATTAAGATTTTTGCCTTAGTCATTTATTTTGGGTTGTCAAGATTGTAGCATGTGAGTCTCAATTCTGGCCCAGTCATGGCCTTTGGTTACATATTTGTAAATAAATGAGTTAATGAATATACCTTTAACTGATTGTTTTATTCTTCTGTTATTACCTTTTAAATTATGTACATGTATTACTTTAATTTTTTAAAAACAGCCACAAGAATTATCCTGGTGATAGAACAATAGGATAGTTTTGTTTTGCTTTCTTATACCTCTCTATATTTTAAGAAAAAATTCACCAACAGTGTATTTAGAAAACCAAAACAACACAAAACACCAAACCATTGTTGGGTTTTCCTATCAGACAGGAACAGATTAAATGCTTTGAGACATAACAGAGTAAAAAGAAATAAAAACTTAAAAATTTTAAGGGTTTAAGGAGCTATGTTATCTGGTGGAAGATTATTTTCTCAGCACACCAATCAACAGCCTCTAGAATATTTCACAGCCTGGGAAACTCTGATCTAGCTTCTGGGGCACAGAGACTAGACTGCTGGCTGGAACCATAGGAAGCAGCAAGGAAAAATTGAGCCCCGAGAGAGTAAGGCATCTTAATAAAGGCACAAAAGTGGGGAGAGGTGGTTCCAGGAGCTAGTTGGGGTTGGCTTGGACACCCGACCTCCTCCAGAGCACTGGTGCTCAGGCAAGGCTGTGTCAGGAGAGCAGATATCCTAGACACTGGGAGTTTGGATATCTGGACCAGAGCACTTGAGAGCGAGACACCTTGGGGAGCAGATAAGGTTTGTATAGGTAGGCATTTTCTTTAATCTATAATATTTATAAAGTGTTTTATAAAGACTAGCTTTGTTTTTTTAAAAATCTGTGTAAATAGGAAAGAATACAGAGAAACTGTGATTAAGCCAATCAGTCCCAGAAAAAATAGAAACTGTACCAAGAACATTAAGAACTGATGAGCTCTATGGCCGGGCATGGTGGCTCACGCCTGTAATCTTAGCACTTTGGGAGGCCGAGGTGGGAGGATTGCTCAAGGTCAGGAGTTCAAGACCAGCCTAAACAAGAGCGAGACCCCACCTCTACTAAAAAATACAGAAAGAAATTAGCTGGACAACTAAAAATCTATATAGGAAAAATTAGCCAGGCAGAGTGGCACATGCCTTTAGTCCCAGCTACTCCAGAGGCTGAGGCAGGAGGATTGCTTGAGCTCAGGAGTTTGAGGTTGCTGTGAGCTGGGCTGATACCACTGCACTCTAGCCCAGGCAACAGAGCAAGACTGTCTCAAGAAAAAAAATAAAAATTAATCAGCTCTGGTGATGACTGGCAGAAATGAGTTTCACATTTGTCAGCATTACACACCTCCATAACCAAGTAGAAAGAGGGGCATGCCATCTCTCTCAAATGCTAACTTATACTAATTTCTCAAAGAAGAGAGCTAATTAAATTAATGAGACCAATGAAGGAGCTTGTTATAAGAAAAAAACATAATAAAATCCATGGCTTTTTTGTATATAACCAGTAACTTGTTTGAAAACAAAATGGGCAATGAGAGCTTGTCATAATAATAATTTTAAAAATTATATAATAGCTGATATTTAAGATAATCTTAGAAAGAAATGTGTGATGTAAGGGCCACTGGAAGAAATGAATAAAACTTGTAGAATACTTAGCTAGATAAATAGGTATACAAAATATTGTATTGCATTTCTATTCTTTTAAGTTCAAAAGTAAAACATGCTTATTGGGAACATTTCTAATAACTAAAATTTTGGAAAACAAAATCCTTCTCCTTATTCTCCTCCCAACTCCTTTCATTCCCCAGAGGGCCCACAATTTGCAGTTTGCTATGTATCTTTCCAAATACGTTATGGACTGAATGTGCCCTCCCCCATTCATATATTGAAATCTAATCCCCAGGGTGATAGTTTTAGGAAGTGGAGCCTATGCGGGGTGATTAGGTCAGGAGGGTGGAGCCCTTATGAATGGGATTAGTGTCCTTATAAAGAGACCATAGAGGGCTGGCCAGCCCTTTCTGTGAGGACACAGGGAGAAGGTGCCATTTCTATGAACCAGAAAATGGGACCTCATCAGACACTGAATCTCCTGGCACCTTGATCTTAGACTTCCTAACCTCCAGAAACTGATAATTAAATTTCTGTTTTTTTTTTTTTTTTTAATCTTGAGACAAGAGTCTCACTCTGTTGCCCCAGGTAGAGTCTAGTGATGTCATTGTAGCTCATAGCAACCTCAAACTCGTGGGCTCGAGTGATCCTCCTGCCTTAGTCTACTGTGTAGCTGGGACTACTGGTGTGTGCCATAATGCCTGGCTAATTTTTCTGTTTTTAGTAGGAAAGGGGTCTCATTCTTGCTCAGGCTGGCCTCGAACTCCTGAGCTCAAGCAATCCTCCCACCTTGGCCTCCCAGAGTGCTAGAGTTATAGGCATGAGCCACTGTGCCTGGCCAAATTTCTGTTGTTTATAAACTACCCAGTCTCTGGTATTTTGTTACAGCAGCCTGAAAGACCATTCCTATAGTATTGGCTGCTTTAGCAGTTCTTTAATGGCTTTAAACATATTTGCTGTTTGCTTGTTTTATATTATTTTTATTTGGCCTTTCTAGTGATTCTGAGTGGGAATGGCAGTCTGCTATAAGCCATTTGTCATACTCACTAATATCTCATTGTCCACACTTACTCATATGGTCACATTGGACACTGGGAAAGATAATTTAAAAAAAAGTTTTGAGTGATGATATGTCCAACTAAAAATTAGAATTTTGTTCCTATGAAAGATGAGAAGGATGGGTGTTGGGGTAATCAACTAGCAGTCTGTTCCAAAGTGGGAGGCAGAAGCCACTTGTAGTGCCAGGGTGGGATGGGGAGTGGTCTTCCCATATACTGGGATTATGAGTTGCCAGAACACACCCCTGACTTAGGTGAACTCATAAAACAACCATAACTTGATTAACACTAGCTATGAGAATCATCTGACTCCTTGTGTTTGGATCTGTGCTTACTAAATAACCTTGAGGTAGTAATTTGGCTTTCCTTAGAGACTTGGAGAGAATGTACTAAGCCTCAGATATGAAATCTACTGATTTTTTGGCAGTTCTACTTCTCAAGGCAAATAATCAAAACCAGTGTCAAAACCTGCATAATGAACCAATCTTCTTGAGCCCACTTTGCCCTGGATGAAATGACAAAACATTATTTCTCCAACTACTAGGATTTGATTGTTGCTGTGGCCCTCTTACTAAAGCACTATAAACATTTAGACATTAGACATCTCTTGCTAAATTTAGCAGCAGGTTTATTCTATGGAACAAAAATGAATCCTCTGTTTAGGAAAAAACTTTCAAACGATGTCTCAGTTTCTAATAGAAAGGTGAAACAATTTACAACAGTGATGAACACAGGAAAGATTGTGTCTGAAAATTGTTTTCTCCTTAAGTCAGGTATACCATTGGAAAATGTGGTCCTGAAATTTGGTGAAAATATAACTCACAGAGAATTCTAAAAGACTATCTCTCAGACTGATTGGTCTGCAATTTGGGGGTTATACAAAATGTTTGTTCTTTTTAAAGGTAGAGCAGATTGTGGATTTTGGCTAATCTGAAAGAACTTCACTATTAAGTTAATCTCTGTGAACACTGGGCTGTAACACACAGAAGAGATTTAAATTCTGAGGGCAAGAGCTCTCTTGGCACCCATTTCAATTTTATAGAAATAATCAGATGATTAAGAGAAAAAAAATAGTGACTCAAGAGGTCCTTGGGATTCTCCTGTAAATTCTGAATAAGGCACTTAATTTTCCTAATTCTCATTTCTTCTTTTTCCAATCTGTTATTGAAAATAAAATCTGGCCTCTGAGGATATATGGCTTGTACTAATGAAATAATAACTGGAAGGATACCAAGTTTATTGGATGGGCTCTGGGACCATTTCCCTAAAACCTGTTCCTGCTTAATTACCAGTTTAAAATTCAGCACTTTATTAATGTGTTTGGATCATTTGGATTATTCATGTCTCTTTTCTCTCTCTCTTTTTTTTTTATCCTTTTAAATATTTTTAGACACTAACACATTTAGTTCTTAACCTTGTAGAATGTATGCTATGGAATCTATCCCTAGAAAAATGCATCCATGCACCAAACCACAAACTTTTGCCTGCAGTTTCAGAAGAGACACAGATTCCTGAATTAAAGACGATCAAACACATTTTTAATTTTTTTCTAACATGTATTTGTCAGGTTTTGAACATTTTGTAAACAATTAGACTCTTTTGTATCCCTCAGGATATATATACCTCTACTTTTGAAAATTTTACTTTTTACCATCTCAAGTTCCTAACATCATATTGGATTATAAAACATAAAGAAATATATACAACATGGTAGCCAATGTAATTGGCAATAGAGTACAAGTAATTCCAATGACTTGCATATTGGGAAGTTATTTCAATTATTATTAAAATTACTTTTAACGCTATTTTCTACCTTGATCAGAATTCATTATTTCCTGATGGCTTTGATGATTTGTCCCAGGCTTGCATGGTTTGTGGCAACCAGTTGCTGAAATAAATCAACAAAGTCATGCTGGTCTCTTTTAGATCATCACATATGCACTTTCTTACTAGGAGTACTCTGTACATGCTTTTCTCCCTGTCTTTCTTTCCTTCTTTGTATAGTTAAAGCCTCCTCATCTTACCTATTTGGTAAATAGCTTTCCTCTACATAGTTATTCAGGGACCCAAGCTCTTTCCATTTTGTGATTCTACTGTCCCTAGGACTTCAGAGTCCTCTGCTTCCAGCAGAGAAGACAGAAGAGAGAAGGCACCTGCTTATAATTTTCTTGAACCAGAAGTGACACACTTCACATCCAAACACTTCCTGATGGTAAGAACTACTTACATAGCTCCACCTAAGGTACAAGGGGGCTTGGGAAGTGTAACTCCTGGCTGAATAGCCACTTCCAAGGGACATCTCAGCACTGTGGGAAAGGGAGCTTGAATTTGGTGGTAGCTACTTATCTCTGCCACACCATAGTGTACCACCAGCATCTAGTATAATGGCATTTAAATATTTGTAGAATGCATGAATGAAAATGAACGAATGCAATTATTTGAAGTAGTTTTGTGACCAGCAATATTATAAAAATTTCACATCTGGTGCACAGAATTTGGAAAAGCAGCAGCTTCATTAGGTGATAGCTACCCTATTTACATAAACCAAAATAATGATGCAGGAGGCACTCACTGTGCATTCTCAGGTCTAATATGTCAGGAAGCACCAGATGGGCAGCATCACTCTTACATTTCTGGTTCAGCCTGCTGGCTTGGATCATTCCACAGATGTATCAAAAGAAATGGAAAAAGCAATTATAGTAAATTATGCCAGAAAATTTTGCTTGAATTGGTTTCATTCTGGCCATTTCAAACTGCATCATGAATTAATTACCCAAAGGGCCAAAAAAGAGTATAACAATAGAACAGATAAATAATCAATTAAAAGTGGGTTAGATTTAGGTTAACTGGTCATTATGTAAAGATCTTTGAGCAAACTGACCTGTTCCCTTTGGGTGAATTTATCTATCTTTATATATTTACTATATATATTCATAATGTATAATATATTAACTTAATATATTTTATGTATGGTTATTATATATTCATTATATATTCATTATGCATGGTCATAATATATTTATTAATTCATGTTCATTACTATATATTCATTAATTAATATATTAATTTTATAATGGCCATATGAAATATTAGATCTAAAATTAAGCATATAGAGAACACATCAGGAAATTGTAATTATGTCGTTTGTAAGTTTCAGATAACTCTTTTGCCTATTTCACATTATAGTCAAGACTTAGTTTTAAACTATAGAGCTTGCTTATGAAACTAGTGATTTGGTTTGCACCAAATATCTAAATTTTAGACTTACAATGTATCTTTAAATATGTACTTTTAATACGAGGTTTACAAGATTAATAAGGACTATGAGATTTATTTATTTTTAATATTTGGTGCAATACCTAGAGTCATGTTCCCTGCTTTCCTAATTCTTGTAACATTCCCCCAGTTCATCCAGCTTTGTGTTTCACTGAATCTCTAACTCCTACCTCTTACAAGGTGCTCCGTGTTCTTACCAGTCTTAGTTTGTCTGGCTGGATAAGAGAGCCAGAGAATCAGAGAGCTCTAACCTGGAAAGAGCTTCACTGTCAATGGGATCAATCTGCTCTGTGATCTGATAAACCATTTCAAAATAAAGCACTAGTTACTTCACAAGTGATTTGTAATAGAAAAACTTTCACTAAAAAAATCACCATGGTGATAAACAACACGAGGTAATAGATTAATGGTAAAGGCAGTACAGGATTCTATGTGTGGGTACATAGGGGATTACATTGCTGCGTAAGATTTATATGATGCAGAAGAAGGAGGTCTAGACCCTTCAAATCATGCTAGAATAGGCCACCTTTGCATGCATATCTGCACCTTCTCACTATATCCTCTTCAAAGAGCTCAGTTGTAGCGTTATATTTTCTGCAACATCAAGGAAGCAACACATTTTAGATCCCAGCCTCATATTTGCCTAAAGAAGTCTCCACTGAATAACCAAAAAAATTTCTAAGATGTTGTATTTTTGGAAAAAATGCTTTTACTTATTTCAAAACCTTCAGTGATTCATGCTGTTTTGAGGGAGTAGTGTTTTAAAAAACCTAAACCTTTAATGCTCTCTAGGTGGCTTTGGCTTACTTTTGAAATAAAGTGATACTTTTTTTTACTGGATGGTTTCTGAATGATTGCCATATAGAGAGCTTTACTTATAGGTGTGAAAAAGGCCAATTTAACTGCCCACACTTCTGTATCCCTAAGGGTGGTGTCAATTTGTACTAGGCTGTGGGGATACAGCACAGAATAGACTGGTGCTAAATTGAGGGGAGAACTCTCAAATGAAATTTGGTCACATAGAATTCGTAATCTTGATCCTGCATCTAGATACACAAATAAATACACAGTCCCTTCATTTTGTTTCATTAATTAACATACTAATGATATTCCACATTTTATTATGCACCTTACAGATTGTAAATGGACTCACTTATTTATTTTTTTGCCAGTCCAGGTCGATGTGGAAGTACCCAAAATAGTCTATTAAGAATGTAATATCAATTTTGTGAATGCCTTTGCCCAAGAATCCTGGGGAACTTTATATAGTGTGTGAAATATTTAGTGGTATAGGGCATCATCTGGAGCAGTAGTTCCTAACTTTTTAAAATGAAAGGCCCGTTTTTTTTTTTTTTTTGTCACTTTGTTGCCCAGACTAGAGTGAGTGCCGTGGCGTCAGCCTAGCTCACAGCAACCTCAAACTCCTGGGCTCAAGCAATCCTGCTGCCTCAGCCTCCCAAGTAGCTGGGACTACAGGCATGCATCACCATGCCTGGCTAATTTTTTCTATATATATTAGTTGGTCAATTAATGTCTTGCTATTTATAGTAGAGACGGGGTCTCGCTCTTGCTCAGGCTGCTTTCGAACTCCTGACCTTGAGCAATCCGCCCGCCTCAGCCTCCCAGAGTGCTAGGATTACAGACGTGAGCCACTGTGCCCGGCCTGAAAGGCCCATTTTGAAACTAAGAAAAGTATCATCAGTAGCTGCATGTTGGAAATTGCACTTTTAGTATTTATTGATAGAAGAATAAACTAATGATAACACCTATTCTGGATTTAGAAATGCTTTAAGATATACTTGTATGCTATTAATTATTACAGCATCAGTATGTTCTTGTAAAAGTATAAGACCTATGGATGAGGACCATGTTATCTATGCCAATAATGCTTGGCTTGTCTTTAAACTTGTAGACTCTTGAAGGGCTTGTCTCACATAGATCAGAAAGTGCCGGCTTAAATTAAAAATACATAATTAATGATGGGCATATTTTGAGTTTTTATGAAAATTCTTTCCTGATAAAGTCCTATGATCTATAAGTAAAACATTTCTTCCAGGGTCCATGGCTGATGCTGGTCTTATTTCCCCACCATGTTGCCTGATCTTTTCTTGATGCAAAGTGTGATCTCTGATAATCCCATGTGGATCTGAAGGTTTATCATTGCTGGAATGATAGGATTGATGGAATGCTCTGCCATGAAGTTGTGATTAAAGATTCATGTTCTGTAGCACCAAGGACTTGGCTAGGAAAAATATCAGGCCTAATTAATTAATTAGGTAATGTGCTGAGCGACAGCCCACTTTGCAGTACCTCTGAGGCGATGTGATTGCATAGGCTAATGGAAAATAGACCACAGACTCAGAATTTTAAAATAAGACTATTATTAATAAGAACTTTATTGCACGATAGATGAGAGTGCTCACCTTCCTCCAGTTAGAGGAAGGGTGCTATCACGTCCTAGTTCCTTAACGAATTAAAATGATAAGCTTACTTTTGTTCATGCAAAACGATAGGACCCTTCTCCAAAATCTGGGGGAGAAGAGAGGCATTGGGAGACTTTGATGCAGGAGGCCTCCTTCCTTCCTCTCCTCCTCCTCAGAAATCAGAGCTGCGTTGCTGTCTAAGGCTCACTCCCCCCCGCCCCCACTCCTTCTTCTTTCTCCCTTTGTCTTTTATTGAGATTTTCCCCTATAAAATCTCTTCCACTTCTAGTCCCTTCTGGGAGTCTTATTCTCAGAAGTCCTGAACCATCATACCATTTATTAGCTTGGATGAGTTACTTAATCCTTATAGGTATGGTCTGTCTCAGTAGTAACATGAGTAAAATAATAGTATTTAGGTCTTATAGGTTTTATAAAGAAGAAATTTGAAAATGGCTGAAAAATTATAAACACAGTGCCTGGCACATGGCAAGTAGTCAAGAAATAATAATTGTTATTCCTATTATTACTACTATCTTTCAGTGTTTCTAGAATTCTTTGCTTGGAGCAAGTTGAGAAAGCTGAAGGCTGTCTTTTCTTGGAAGAGCCCTGGATTGCAAGATATAGATGGGGAAGAAATCTCACAGAATCCCATGTTGATCATGACCCAAGTGCATTGTAGCTGCCTGTGTGAGGGTTATCCTAGGTATTGGGTGTTTGTGACCTTTGTACTTGGGCAAGAACCATTTGAAAAGCCTGCTGACCTACTGAGGCTAAAGTAAGGGAGGGCTGGGGACCTAGAGACTTGTCTGCCTGGTCCAAAAGATCCTCCTCTCCCTACGCCTTTTTTCTTTTACATAATTTCAGACTTACGCAAAAATTGTAAGAATAGTGCAAAGAATTTCTGAATACCTTCATCCAGATTTCCCATGTTAACGTGTGTGTGTGTGTGTATTCACATGCATACATTTTTTTCTGAACTCTTTGAGAGACAGTTGCAGCCAGGATGTCCCTTTATACCTAAATACTTCAGTATGTGTAGTCTGAACGTAGGGTCTACATTCAGCACGAAGGTAGAAATTGCCCATGTTCAGTCTCATATCCTGCCCAACAATAAATTCAGAGCTGCCTGATTTTGTCTCTTGTGCCAGCACAGATCATTTCTTTGGTTAATGAGCATATGAAGTAGTTATTTTTCTTATCGATCATGTTGTCTAAAAAGTAATTATTTTAAAATACCAGAATCATACTTATCCTAGTAAGAGGCTCTCCTGATGGGAGGCACGTGGGCAAACTCATACCCCTGAAGGTGATTCAGGTGGATCTGCTCACTGAAGATCTCTCTAGGCATGTGCCCATTGAGGTCTGAATTACCTCTGTTGTTTAAATTATTTCTTTTTCATTCTCTTTATTGATCTAGTTTATGTTAAATACTAACATAATATGACTTTGAATGACTGTTCTAATGCTCAGAGGACAGAGACAACTAAGACAAAATACCTACCCTGAATGCAGTTAAACCAGGGAAAACAAGACAGGAGCACAAGTATAATCATAATACAAAACATGAGAGAAGGTTGAGAAGAAGGATGGATTACAAGGAGGTAGCTGGCTCAAGAAATATTTCATGGAAGAGGTGGCTTTAACATGTTCATTAAAAGGAGGAAGATGTTTTCTGGGTATTGTTGAGGAGTTTCCTTCTACAAAGGTGTCAGCATAGGCTAAGGCACAGAGACAGGAAAGCACTAGGGGAACGAGTATAGTCAAGAGTGAGGAGCTCTATGTGGCAAGAACTTCTGGGACTTGAGGTACTTGTGGAAGAATAGTGACAGTAGGGTTGTCTGTTCGTGCTGCTACAACAAAATAACTGAGCCAGGGTAATTTATAAACAACAGCAATTTATTTCTCACAGTTCTGGAGGCTGGAAAGTCTAAGATCAAGGCTCTGACAGTTTTGGTGTTCGGCAAGGACCCAATCTCTGCTTCCAAGATAGCGCCTTGAATGCTCCTTCCTCCAGAGAGGACAATGTGTCTCCACATGAAAGAAGGGACAGATTTACCTTCTCAAGCCCATTATAAGACACAAATCCTATCTATCAGGGCAGAGCTGTCATGGCTAAGTTGCCTCCTAAAAGGGCCCACATCTTAATAGTGTTACACTGGGGATTAAGTTTCAACATGAATTTTGAAGGGAACCCAAACAATCAAACCATAGCAAGTGTGGAGAGAGATTTGGGGGAGGTTGTGGAGGATCTTGGAGCGTGGTCTCCAGTGGATCTCCCAGTTCTGTGTGTGAGTGCTGAAGGCAGTGTGCTTCCCCTCCTCACTCCCTCAGCTTCCCTCTTCCTTGTACTCTTTTCTTTTCCTGCTTTTTTCCCCTTGGTATCCAGAGACCTCCTCTACAAACAGAGTTCTTTGCCAGGTTGGATAAAGACTTTTCTCCACCCTCACTCCCCCCATTCTTGGATCTACCCAACTTTATTAAAGGACAGGGACAAACTTTTTCAGATTTCTAAGTTGTCACAAAAACTACGAAGATGAAGGATGCCGACACACGTGCCCAGAGGTGAGCCCCGTGGGCCATCTGAGGAAGGGGCCCTGTGTCCACTTTCCTCTGTCCTCTTACAATAATTCATCTTGGCAAGGTAAGGGCAGGAAACGCTAATCAGTTTCAATATTTCATCAAATTAGCTATTTACCTCCACTTCCTGATGTGTCATTGTAGACCCAAGATGACTTGGGTGAACACGTTAGAAACTCTTTGAGTTTGCAGGGTTGCTTTCTCCCTGAGAATGCCCAATTAAGGCTGCTCTGAAAAGGTTTCCTAATTTTGTTTTCTTGTTAG